AATTTACTTTCATTCCATTTATGAAAGGGTTAACAAGGCAAAAAATCAATAGAGAGAGAATATGAGAAGAAAGGAAAAAAAAATAAGATAGGAGAAAACCAGTGGACAAATCTAGTCAAAATAATAATGCTAATAGGAAACTTGTGAATTTATCCAAATAGATTTATTAATATTTCTTGTAAGTAAAGTATTTTACTAGATGCTGGAGACAAAATAATACACAAAAGTATCCTGCATGTAAAATTAAAATAACAGTATGGTGGACCACCCACTTAAATAGGAAATAGTGCTTCAGAGCTTGCTTTGGGGAGTGCCTTAAAATTTACCAACGGAAATAGCATCTAAGATGAGTCCTGTAGCATCAGTAAGAGTCAGGAAACCGAGACATGCATTTTAATTTGATAAAAATATGCCACACTGAAATGCTACTAAATTCAAGACTCCAATAATTAGTTTACCAGAGGACAGAAAGGAGAGTAGAAATAAGAATACAGAACACAATTATTACAACTACGGTTCTGCTATGTAAGACACAGAGGATGAAAAGGAAGGACTACAGAAAAAGAGGGAACAACAAAGAAAAGAGAGTTGTGCTCTGTGGAGGAAGAAAGCAGATAAAGATCCTAAAAAGCTGCTGGACGATTGGGCTGGGGATATAAGTCAGTTGGTAGAATGCTTTCTTTGCATGTACAAGGCCCTGGGTTCAATCTCCACCACCATGAAAAACAAACCAAACAAAAAATTGGGCAAAAGTTTTGAATAAGGGCTGGGGTTGTAGCTCAGTGGTACAGCGTTTGCTTAGCACATGTGACGCTCTGGGTTTGATCCTCAGCACCACATAAAAATAAATAAAATAAAGGTATTTGGTCCATCTACAACTAAAATTATTTTTTAAAAAAAAAGAAAGGAAGAAGATGAATGATCAAGAAATTAAAACGTGAATAAGTGAAAAATGGAGTAAGAATTTTTTTCATTTTTTTCAGGAGTTATATTTAAAAAAGATTCAGCAAGATAGTGAATAGGAGACAATAAACCTCAAAAATCTAACTAGTAAGTTTTTTTATTAAATTGTTAAAATTATTACACTCATTACAACGTTTTTCTCTCACTGAAATATTTTACTTGCTTGATAATTCTTAAGTAGAAAATCTCTTTTTTTCTTTCAGATAAAAATACACACTATGAAACCTGCAAATTGGGACAAAAATGGACAATTGTTAACTTTCTTCTCTGCTCCCAAATGGCAAAATCTTTTTTAAACTTTTTAGTTGTTTTTTTATAGCAAAAGTTCACAACTTTTCTCTGATTAAAAAAAAATATGGCATCATAATTGCTGAAAATTCTCTTAAATTATTGGTGTTAGCTATGAAACATTTTATACTTAAAAACCAACAAAAATTGTTCCGATCTTAATTAGGTTCTATGTTTCACATGTGCACCAAAAAAGTGCAATTTCACTTAGGTGACTTTGTTCTATTTCATCATTTGCTTCTGATAAAAAATATATATATATATATATATATATATACACACACACACACACACACTGCTCTAGGCATATTGGAAACTCTTTATCTTCATTATATAAAACTTTAAAAGTTTGGGCAGTGTAGCAAAATTTTAATAATTAATATTTGACTCAAATCTTATTTGTAATGCAAATCTGCCTGGTAGACCCTGCTGAATTCTTTTCACACACCATTTTTTCATCCATAAAAATGAGCTGATCATTACTTTGGGCTGCATATTGTTTTAAGTGCTGGGGATATAAAAGAAGCAAAACCAAAAATAGTCTTGCTTTATGGAGCTTGTGTTCAGTCCAACATCCTAAGGCAAAACTGCAGAATGAAAGTACAGAGGACATGGGAAGCTATGTAAATCAAAAATTTAGTGCCATAGAGAGATGAAGTAAAAAAGTAATAACAACAATAATACTATGATCTATTGTCCTCAAAAAATGAACCCCTACTTCAAATTTTATGCACTAAAAATATAAACACAATGCCACTTGAAAGTAACACCTGAGATCAGGATTGGATGTATATTAAATTGTGCAAAGCAGTTGGAGAAAAATGACTATATTTTAAGACTTCTAGTGAAAGATATTGTTTTTCTAAAAATTTAATTTGTATGCACACACTCTCAAAGTATCTTCTGGGAGAGTAGAATAATATACAGTATTCATTCATGCCTTAACACACTCACTGTGAATAAATGTTTATTCCTTGGGCTTTATAAAGTATGTGATGAATGTATTTTTTTTCTCTTACTTAAGTGACATATAATATCATGATTCATGCTTACATCCAATTTTCTGGTAAGTTATTTTTAAGGTCTCTCACAAGTTGTTCCAAGAGTATACCTTACTTGCAGGGCTTATAACCATTTGATTTCTTTTCCATTCTTTGGTCTTTTTTTCATATTTATGTCTTTTTTTTGCATAGAAATGTATGCAAAAGCTTAAAAAGAAAAAGTTTCCTAAGTGACCCCACTTTAGCAATTATTAGTTAGGATTCTCCAGAAAAAAAACAAAAGCAATAGAATGTGTGTATGTGTGTGTGTGTGTGTGTGTGTGTACATGTGCAGATAGATAGAAAAAATCATACATACATATATACATATGCTATTTGTTACAAGAAATTAGCTCATGTGATTATGGAGGCTGACAAGTCCCATGATCTGCAGGGTGAGCCAACAAAATGCAGACACCAGGGAGCCAGTGGTGTATTTGCAGTCTGAGACCAAAGGCCTGGGAACCACAAGAGTCTGTGGTGTGGTGTAGTCCCAGTTGAAGGCCACTAAGGTTAATACCCAAGAAGGGCCAATATTTCAAATGAAGTCAAAGTCAGAAAGAAGTCAATGTGCTAGTTTTAACCCAATCTGAAAGAGGAATCCTTTTTTACCCAACTTTTTTTTTTTTTTTTTTTTTTTTTTTTTGTGATGTGGGGATCAAATCCAGGGCCTTGTACATGGTAGAATGCAAGCATTTTACCAACTGAGCTGTATCCTCAGCCCCTTCCCCAACCTTTTAATTCCACTCAGGCCTTCAGCTGATTTAGGAGGCCCACCCACATTACGAAGGACAATCTGCCTTACTCAGTGTGCCAATTTAAACGTTAGTCTCATGCCAAAAAAATATGCTCAAAAGAACACCAAGATACTGTTTCACAGAATATTTGGCCAGTCAAGTTGACACATAAAATTAACCATCACAGTGACACTCTTTCCTTTTGGCATCTCAAGCTGACAAATAATATCATAAGCATTCACAGGAAAGAATTGACATGAAAACCAACCCACTGACACACATTGGCTGCACACACCTACTGCGTACTGTGTGTGTGTGTGTGTGTGTGTGTGTGTGTGTGTGTGTGTGTGTGGCGGGGGGTACGACTAGCTCCCAGGGTCTGGTCATCTGGCAGACCTGATAGAAGCAGTGAGAAGTCAGAGTGGAAGGAGAAGTTTCACCTGGCAGTCAAGTAGGATTCAAAGGGGAGAGAACTGAGCGGACAGGATGAGCAAGCAGGAACAAAACTAGAGATAAGCACAGCGTGTCAGCACAGGGCATAGTGTACTTGGCCAGCATCTGCCTACAGAACAGCGATGGAAAATAAGGATAGACAGGTGTGTGGCAGTTAACTCATGAGAGGCTTGAAGCACATCGTGTAAACTCTACTTTACAGTGCTTTGCCCTTTTAAAACTGCATCAGCAGACCTTTTTTGATCCTTTTAACAAGTCTGTGAAGCAGATATTATCACTAATAATTTTCATAGTGAAGAAGGCTTAATATGCTGCAGGGTTTGGAGCTATCATCTAATTCCTACTTCAGGAACCCTTTTCTAATGGAAGTGACAAAAGGAACCATTATGTCTCTTGAACAAGGGGTTTTACTATAAAAATAGTCCTTTAGAAAGTTTGAACATGCTTTATGAGCTACATTAAAGAGTGAAACCCAGGAGGCCAGGAGGCAGCTGCAATGCCTTCCACTTACACAGGCCAAACATGACCACAGAATAAAGGAAAAAAAGACAATTGTTATAGGTTGAGTCGTGTTTAACACAAGAAATGACAAACTTTTAAAGGTAGGAACTACTAAAGCACATGTGGTAAGATGCAGTACAGGACACCCACATTTAAACTTTGAAAGAAAGATTGTATCCATTTTTTAAGTTTTTTTTAAGCAAACCTTTTAATGTACTTTAACACCTTTTGCTTAAAACTTCAGCTTTCTAGTTAAACTAATGAAACTTTGGCCATAAATCCTAACGTCCTTAGTGCTAATACTTGAACCTCGCCCTATATGCAAAAGTAACTCTTTTTCTTGAACCTCCAGCAAAGAAAGGTGGTCCCATGAAGTCACTGAACAAGGATGGAGGTAGGTAGATGGCACTTTGTGAGGCACAGGGGGCAGAGCTGAGCCACATCTTGGTCCCCATCCATCTTGGCCTCTCTGGAACAAGTTTCCAGGCCAGCCTGGAACTGTGATCCTCTTGCCTCAGGCTCCTGCTCCTTGCTGCACATCCAAGAGTCCTCACAACAGGGGCTCACATCCACTGAGCCTTCCCACCCTGACAGGACACAGAAAGTTTTCACCAGCATCATGGTTCCTAGTCCTTCCCCGACAGAAGGAAGGAAACCAGGGAATGAGATCCTTCCCTGCTTCATCCCACTGTACCAAAAGCCTGCCACATTGTTATGCTACACAGATTCCCTTAATCTTCATTCCCAGCCCCATTTTACAGATGAAGAAACTAAAAAATCAAAATTCAAGGGTTAGGGATGTAGCTCAGTGATAAAGCCCAGGCCTAGCATACAAAGTTCTACGGTCAACCCCCAGCACTACAAAAAGCTAAGTTTAGCATCTTGTTCAGGGTTCCCAGCAACAACCCAACCTGTGTAGAGTAACTGCTGCCAGGGCCTATATTGCCACCCATTGGGAGCAAACCAGATGGTTATTTCCAAAGCAAACAACCCAGGGGCACTTCACTGTGGTTCTAAGAAATGTCAGGCTATAAGCCAATCTTAGTGCTCACTGGTTTCTGAACACAGAGCATAGAAACAGCCACTTGCTCTTTGCCCAGATGTCACAGATACAGCGGAATCAGCTTAGTTTTAAAACTTACCACAATGCTCAGTTTCATTTTACTCTTACATCATCTTGTGACTTCCCCCACATCTCAGTGGAAATAATTCTCATAAGTTTGTTCTCATGGATTTAGAGAATTCATGGAAAAGATAGCAAATTCATTTTCAAAAAAGGAAGTTTACATATTTCTTTGTGCTGCAATAAGAAACACTGAAACTGAACCATTTATGAACAGTAGAAATTTCTTTCTTTCTGTTCCTGATAGAGCCTGGGAAGTCCAAGATCAAGGCACTTGTAGATTTGTGTCTGAGGGCCCACTTGCTTCCAAGTCAGCACATGGGGTGCTGTGTCCTTTAGAGCAGATGAGCACCGTGTCCTCAGGTAGAAGAAAGGACAGAGGAGGGAGGCTGTTAGCTGCAGTCTCTTTTAAAGGGCATTGATGCCATTCAGAGGTCAAAACTCCTCTTGGCCTACTGACCTCCGAGGGCACCACCTCTCACACTATTATTGTCTTGGGAGATTAAGTTCCAACACATGTCTTTGTAGGGACACATACAGTCAAACCTTAGCATTTACCATTTCTTCTTTCCTCTTTTTTCACAATAGAGATCTTCCTTATAGTACTGCTGAATGCATCTTAGAAATATATACAATGTTTAGATGTAGATTTTTATCCCTTTCACTTGACTCAAAGAAAATGTGAAAATAGATCCTTAGCTAGAAAAAACTGGGATGGGGGTGTGGCTACTCTTAGAACTTAGAAATCAAAACAAAATAAATCATTGAACTTCTGCCTGTTTTAAAGTTATGTGTTAAAAGTAAACTTTAAATTAAACTTGTTTGACCTATTTTGTCTCTATTTTTTGGTTTGATACACAGCAAGAACAAGTTCTGTTATGAAAATAAACATTATAAATAAATAAACTTCGTTCTTGTAGACCCATAAACCTAATCATTTAAGAGACTGCCATCATCTTCAGAGCAAGAAAGAGTAGTCTTTGCAGGTAGAGTTGTCTATAAAAAAAAAATAGTTTTTGTTTCAACACTTACTTTAGATCCTTTGGAATTTAAAAAATTAAAATATTCGTTCTTTATTTCTTGTTTAAAGATTCAAAGAGTAGAAAAGAAAACACAAAATGAATAGAATATTGTTTCTATTTAAGTGTTTAAAACATATTTATAAAGTGAGTGTAAGAAGAGTTTAGCTAAGAAGAGTAGGAAAGCACGAGTTACAGTTTATCTGTACTCATGGTGCAAAGACTAGGGTGAGTAGAGCAATAAACAACATCAGGTGTGGTTAAGGAAGAAATGTGCTTAATGACCTGAAGTATAGAGCCAGCTTGAGGGAGAGAACAGAGCCCAAGTGGCCGTGGAGGGGAGAACAAAAGAATCTAATGGGAGAAACAGCTAGAATATTAGAAGTCATGGATCAGGTCAAGGACCTTTGGATTAATAGATTTTTAAACTCAATGGAGTTTTAAAAAAAAGTTTGTGAATACATATCATAAGACTTCTGAAAAATCAATATATTTCAAAATAAAACTGGCCAAAATGCCAAACATTACATTATTCCTACAGAATAGAGGATATTCCTTCTAAAAGTATTATGTTTAGATTTAGAAAGAGAGACATATGCTCTCTTGGAGGGGTGGGGCACGGAGGAAAGAGAAAAGAGAGACAGGGAGAGAGGATGATTTTGCCAGGTTAAGTCAAGTGCTTTGTCACAAAAATGTGGTGCTGACTCAGTATCTTTCTTATTTCCTAACTCACAGAAAAAATGAACAAGGCAACCATAAGCAAACTTCAACAGTTCAACATAGATTTCTTCCTCCTTGTCTTATGTCTAATTTAGTTACATGTGCATTAGATATTCCACCTAAAGAACTGGACATAAATTTGTTTTGACGTCTTTCAATATATTCCAGATATAACATCTTGTTCGGACTTCATGTTTGATTGGCTTTATTTAAATTCGTTTTTCCTAAAGAAATTACATGTCGAAATGTGAAAAGCACTTCTTCTCCCACTGCAAGCTAAATTTAAAATAGCCCAGGTGGCGTTACCTTTAGCACTTTATCTTCTTTGGGTTTACATGATAATCATCGCTTTGTATTTCTTACAAGCCTTGTGCTTTTTTCCTGATATGCTGATTTCCTGTTGAGATGTTTTAAATACAGATACACCACATTTTTGTTTTTCTTCACCCATTTGCTAATTGTAAAGATCAAACTATAATGTATTTAAATAATTAGATACAATATCTTCTGTACAGAGTAAGAACTGAGGAATAATAAATAAGTGAATATGGGGAAGAAGGTATTATTTATATCTGTGATTAGTCTGGAAAAAAGGCTCAAAGGGTAAAAATTTTTGATAAGATAAAACTCATATTTCAATCAGCATTAAATTAAAAACATAAGTAGAAAGTAGTGATGATTTTATATTGTATCATTCAAGTAATTAAAAAATATATTCTCCTTGTAAATTTTAAAAAATATTATAGATAATGCCAGGTTCAGTGGTATATACCTGTAATCCCAGCAACTCAGAAGGCTGAGGCAGGAGGATCCACATTCAAAGCCAGCCTCAGCAACTTAGAGAGGCTCTCAACAACTTATTGAGATGCTATCTCAAAATAAATAATTTATTTATTTATGTATTTTTCTAAAAAGTTAAAAAGGGATGGGGATGTGACTTAGTGATTAAACACTCCTAGATTCAATCTACCCCTGGGTCCAATCCTGGATACAAAACAATAAACATACATATATCTATCTCATAGACTGTACAAAATATTGTTTCATGTGTATGTGGATTTTTGTTCCAAATATACTCTGAACAGGTGTTTTATAATAGGAATGAGGAACAAAACCAGGACAGACCATCCATGCAGTATTAATAGAAGTATTTTATGTCTACTAAATTCTACTCCATTTCCTAAATATTTTACACACTTAACACTCTTCATTTTAAAAGGACCAGAGGTCAATGTTTTTATCATTCTCCTGTGCAGTTGTGTAAAGTGAGGAATTTAGAATGTCCCAAGGTCACAGAGTTAGAATCTGAACATAACTGGGACTCCAGAGCCCATCTTGAAATCACTACACCCTACGTAAAATGTACAGAGGAGAATGGAGCCTGCAATTGCATACTGATCTTGCAATCATCGCATAACATGCAGCATTCATCTACATGGATAAAAAACAAATGTCTACAGGTTAACTCACATATCTCATTAATTTTCTGTTGGATATTCACAAACCCTAGAATGCATATTTCCTTTCTGCTGAGAAATCTGCTTCGGTATTCAAGTTTGTTTTTCCTTGATGAATGAGTGACTTGAAGTAACCAGGGAGGACTGATATTTCAAAGTCCTCTGGATGCAACTCTGTGAATCAATATTAACCTGCTCTTCTGCAATACAGACTATCTCAACCAAGCATCACTTCCATTAAGCTGTACATCAATGCGTTTGGTGCATTTGCTGTGTCTGAACTGTCCTTCTCTTGTTAGTTTACATGTCAAAACTCTATTTGTCTTTAAAACTCTTGCTAGGATACAATCTCCTCAGTGAAATCTTGATTCCCTATTTAACTTCTGTTCCTTGTATATGCTTTTAGTACTGCACTATCACTCGAATTTTTCTTCTTTTTTTTTTTAAGCTGCTATTTTTAAACTAAGATCTCAAGTAAGATCGATCATTGAGAACTATCATGGTATTTTGATATATTTAGGTCAGTGTTTAGCATGCATTAGATTCACCACAGATGTTTGTGAAATGGAATTGAAATGTGGCGATTATAACAGCATGGTTGCAGTCCTGCAATTCTTTATACAATTATAACTCAGGTTTTAGATGAGTTATGAATTAACTCACATGTTGAGAAAGAATCCTTTCATATTTTCCCCAAAGCATACTATCTCTGTATATTTTATTCCCTTATGTGGTGACATCCTTAGCAATATTTCACATTAAAGGAAGTTTTTTATTTATTTCTTTATTAAATTAGAAACAAGTCTAACAGCCAGCCATGGTGGTACATGCACATAATTCCAGCTACTTGGGACACTGAGACAAAAGTTTGAGGCCAACCTCAGCAGTTGAGCGAGGCCATCAGCAATTTAGCCAGACCCTGTCTCAAAATGAAATAGAAACGGGTGCAGTGGCGTATGTCTGTAATCCTAGTGGCTCAGGAGGCTGAGGCAAGAAAATTTCAAGTTCAAAGCCAGCCTCAGCAACAACAAGGTGCTGAGCAGCTCAGTGAGACCCCGTCTCTAAATAAAATACAAAATAGGGCTGGGGATGTGGCTCAATGGTTGAGTGCCTCTGAGTTCAATCCCTGGTACCCCAAAAGTAATTAATTAATTAATTAATTAATTAGAAAGGGCTGGGGATATAGTTCACTGGTAAAATGCCCCAGGGTTCAATCCCCAGTATAGGAAAGAAAGAGGAAGACTAAAAATTAAAAGCAAAGCTACCGCATATATTTATTGGCAAACTTTATGTAATGCCTATTTGAAAATATATATTTTAGCAATATAGAAAATAGCATCTAATTGTTATTCCCATCAAAGGGATAAATTGTCTTTTCAAATAATTCTTCCTGAATATAAAGATTAATAGAATGCAACTTTTATTTTTAGCAGGATGTTAATTAAGCTAACTAGAAATTTTACCACTACCAAATACCTAGAGTGAATAAAATGTAATAAAGCATTTTGAATGCATAAATATTTTTAACAAAAAAAAAAAAGAGAAGAATCTAAGTTCCAGAAATAAAATAGAAAATGAATAGCAAAAGGTGAAGATGTAAGTGGAACCCGAGGCTCTGCTGTGATGGAATTTTCTGTCTGGTATTTTAGGGCCTCACATTGTATTTCCTGTATGAAACAGGGAACTTGCCTTGGGACCTTTGCATGACAGAGAATTCGAACCCAGAGACCTGAATAGAGAAGTTACCCTCAAAAGTCTATATAGTTAGTGAGTGATTTGCTTTTTAAATTACTCAAGATCACAGGAAATAGCAAGAAATCTGTCTCTGT